TTCCAAGATTGTTCTGAAAGACCTCCTGAGCATCTTGGAATCTTGGATCTTGGATTCTAGAGATTGAAATTCAATCTTTTCAATCTCCGGAGTCGCGCCTTGAGCTAATGGAATTTGCTGCAGCATATGATTTCATTCAGAACTGAGACTTCGAATGTGGGAAATACTATCAATGCCTTTACAAAGGTAGATCTTTCGGGGGGGGGTACCATATATATATATATACGTGTATATATATATATGTCTACAACAAATCACCCTTGTTTGTCAACCTCAACTTGCAATACAATTGGGACAGGTGAAGCCGTGGACAGGAGAACGACTCAACATTTTCCTTAAGCCCGCCCTGCAGCGACCCCCCGCCAAAACCTAATTTGGAACAATTACTACCAATCGTTGGCGTTGTCAACCCAGCTGTAGGATGTCGCCCGCTTGCAACTTGGAATTTTCCCTACCTGGGCCTGAACCCTAAGCCCCAACGCTACACTCAACAACGAAAAGTTCAACCCCGATCCCACACCGCAAACTGTAGACTTCACACCTTGACCTTAACCCGAAGCCCTAAACTTCCCTAAACCCTGAACCCAAAGCCCCTGAAATCCCCCAAACGCTAAACTCTAGAGCTGTACCCTAAGCCCCTAACACCTGTAAACCGTAAACCCTGACGCCTAAACCCTAAGCCCACGAACACCCCAACCCCAAACCCTCAACCGCGGAACCCCTGCAGACAGGCCTGACGTTGCAGCAAGTCTTGGTCGTCCACCATGACCCCCATGAACGAGTCCCCGATCAAATATGTGCCCTTGCGCCAGCTAAGGTTGCGGGGGCTGTAGGGTATAGGGTTCAATCTAGGGTGTTGGGGTTTGAGGGTGTGGGTTTAGAGTTCTAAGCTTTAGGGCTTAGGGTTGGAAAAGAAAATGGAAACTACTATGAAGGGTTTAGGGTTTCGGGTTAGGGTCCCCCTCAAGTAGATTGAATATGGGGTATATGGGGATCTTATTAAAATATACCCAAGGCCATATTGTATCTACTTAAGGGGAGCTATGACACCCAAACTCTAAACACCGCGTTTTTGCATTAGGGTTTGGAGTCTGTGGGGCTTGCTTGGATGGCTTTTAACTTGAAACGTATAGGGGCTTAGAAGAAATTTTATGGCACTGGGCTAAACCCTAAACCCTAAACCTTTGGCCTTTCAAGGATCCGGCCTGGAACGCTAAAGACATGAGGGTCCCTTCCACTCTGTCAAGCACACCTCAAACCCTAGGCCCTGAACCCCAAACCTTGTACTCCAAACCCTAGACACTAAACTCTGAAAGTGGGAAGGTGCAAGAAGGGAACCTTAATTTGGGAAACCACCCACTTGAGGGCTCCATCGGCTAAAGACTTTAGAGCGCTTAAGACTTGGCGCTCGATAGTTGCTTTTCCACCTAAACCCCTGAAGCCTAAAAACACCCATGCCATCTTCTGCAGGCCTTTAACCACCCCATGCATGGACTAAAGCTATCAGGGTCTAGGGTCGGAACCCTGCAAAGGTCCTTATAAGGACCACGGCTCCTTTAAAAGAGACCTTTTAGGGGTTCCATGTTGGTTGGGGAGGGTACAGAACTAGCATCAGGATTTTGTGGAGGCTGTTCTATCACCCTACGCCCTAAAGCCTAAACCCTAAATCCTAAACCCTAAACTAACCCTACACCCTAGCTCCCAAACTCTAAGCCCTGTCGGGAGGCCAGGGTTATGAGGCTATCATCTCCTTGTTGGGGTTATTTAGGGTTTAGGGTTTATACAGGGGTATATTGGAGTTATATAGGGGATATATAGGGTTATGTTGGGGTTGCAGCGGGATAATGGAAGCTACTATTGGCTTCATATCTGCATCCTTTTCTGGATGATATTCGCAATGATAACCTTGAATTCCTAGGAGGACCTACATGAATTTTCGACGACGACCCAGACATTACCCACAAAGTGGAAAGGTGGTCCTAAAATCTAAACCCTAAACCCTAAACCCCAACTGCCCCTCAGATCCCCACCCTGAGGGTCAGAGCACAAAGGTTCAGGGTTTCAGGGTTTCCCGAGGGGGTGGGTAGCCTTGGCAGAATAATACGCCCACAACTAGCCCGTGATTCCTTCCCTGGAAATTCACCCCACCTACTCCTCTAATAATGAATGCCCCCAATACCAGTATAGGATAGGGGGAATTTTCATTGTAGGGGGTATGGTGAAGGGGAAGCTTCTGTTCCGTTCCCTCAGTGGTTGCCTTTCCTGACATGCAACCTGACTGCAGCAGGACTGCAACAGAATCTACAGCCGCAGCCCTTGTTGATAATCCTGCTGAGATCAAACGACCCTAGACCACTTAGCACCTTAAACCGCAAAGACCAAAATCTACAACACACCGGAAAAAGGCTGTCTCTAAAACTTCGCGACCGGCGACTGCACCTGAAAATTCCATGAACCCTCTTTCAACCCCAGTAAACACTTCATCCGGGCCTTAGGTTCGTACTGCCCCTCTAGGCGCGTGAGAATGTCCGAGCCCCAGACCTGGTCATGATCTCGGCTGTTGATCAAAAACAGGGGATCGTGCGGGAACATACTATTGAGGGTCTCGGCTTTAGGGTTCAGGGCTTAGCATTAAGGTTTAGGGGTTTAGGGGTTTAGGGTTTAGGGGTTTAGGGTTTAGGGGTTAGGGGTTAGGGGTTTAGGGTTTAGGGTTTAGAGTTCTGAGATTCCACAACCACATGGAAAAGAAACATGGACCATCTTGCGAGATCACTAGATGCACCGCCTAAGCAGGCTGGCACTTCCTAGATATCATGGGTTCAAGTAGTACCCCCCTCGTTACTACCTCCTACATTCCCCGCTTAATTAACCTTAATTAAGCATAAATATCCTTAAACAGCCTTCATTAAGGGGGGAACCTAGGGGGGTAGAGGGGGGGTACTACTTAAAGCCATGAAGATAGGTCTTGCAAGTTTCCAAACATGAGGGCAGTATCACTTCACCTCAGGACCTTTACATCTGAAAGGGCCACACCAAACCCCGAAACCACATACCCTAGGAGGACCCCCCACCCTGTAATAGTGGTATATCAGGAATACAAGAGGACCCTAATATAATCCTTATTATCCCTTATGGTCACTATTACTGGGTGGGGAGTCCACCTAACACATACCCTACATCCGAAAATAGCAATATCTAGCTTGTCAAAACCATGTTATTTTTTGGATCCCCTGTATATTTCCCCCGCTAATCTGTAGTTTACCTCAAGGGGGACCACCGTTTTGAGAACCCCATATATACCTTCTGAATGCAATCCCGATCAACCTAAAGCAATCCCGGTGTCCATGGGAGTTTTGCATATTAAAGCCGAATCCCCTAGCTGCTAAGCCCAAACCCAAACCCGAATGGCCAAAGCCCTAAACTCCTACACCCCAAACCCGAAGCCCCTAAACTCCTAAGCTACTAAACTTACAAACCCAAACACCCCGAAACCCTAAACCCCTGAACTCCTCAAGCCAAAAACCTAAAAACCACCCATAGTCTAAGACTGGGTTGCTATTCAGGGACTCAAATCTAAGTTGCTATCATAGGGAAACCATATTATGCAATTACCCCATAAACCCATTCTGGTAACTTAGCTTAAGTTCCTAAACCCTAAACCCTATATACCCTATACATATATATATATATGTATTTGGGTAACATTATCTAACTTCCTTATCAGCTACCCAGAAGAATGGGTCCCCAGAACCGGGCCTGGACTCCCAAAGATCCTGCAGACTCCCCGGACACCACGAAGCTTGTAAGCCTGAAGCCCACACGGTTTAGGGTTTAGTGCTGAGGGTCTCGGGTTAGGGCCCAGGGTTTAGAGTTCAGGTGTAAGGTCTAGGGTTCAGGGCTTAGGTTTAGTGTTTTGGGCCGAAAGGTTAGGGTTTGTGGCTTACGGTTTAGGGTTTTAGGGTGATGTAGGGAGGTGTAGGGAGGTGTAGGGAGGTGTAGGGATGCATGTGGATATGCAGGGATTTTAAGTATAGGGATACATGCAGAGATGTAGGAGTATATGGGGGATATACGGTCAATTTTGGGACTCTTGGGATCATAAAACGATTGTAAAGGGTTTGGGGTTTCACGCTTGGGGGTTTTGGGGGCGTGCAGGTTAAGGGTTTAAGTGTAATGAAGGGATTGAGGATGTTGAGGGGCATACGGGGCTTGGGGTTTAGGGCATAAGGCTATCTAGGAACATATTGGCATATCGGGTTTAGGGTTCTGATAATGGAAAAGGAAGTGGCAACTACTGTATAAGTCTGAGGGCTTAGGGTACTCAAGGGTTAGGGCCTATGGGTAGTAAGAAGTCGTCCCAGATGCGCTCATCGAAGTCTCCATCATCGTTTGTGTCTCCCAAATAACAGATAGGCTGCGCTTGGCAAACCAACTGCAAGCACGAGCGCTGCTGCTGATTGCCAGACTGGGCCGTAAGCAGCGAGGCTAAACGGTGGAGGCACTGGCTACCAAGGCCGCCAGCGCTAAGTGCAAGAGCGAGATCTCGAGGATGCAGGTGTCTTGTGCCAGTTTCTGAAGGCAGTATAACTTACCGGAACATATGTGGCTGAAGGTATGGAGATTTGTGCTTTGGGAGGTTCGGCGTTTAGGACTTTTGGTTTCAAGGTTTGGGGGTTGGGGTACGGGTACAGTACTAGGAGGTTTGAAGTTGTTTTTGGGGCTTAGGGAAATGGGATCGAGGACCAGGATAAAAGGTTTAAGGTTTGGGGCGTTGGGTTTTAGAGTGTAAGGTTTAGGGCTTGAGGGTTTAGGGTTGGGCGCATGGGGGTAAGGATATCAGGTATTTGGGGGCAGGGACATATGCAATATGCGAAGGACTTGCAGAATCTTGAAATCTACTCGTGCGTAGGAGAATTTAGGGGACTGGAGTCTGGGGATTGTTCTTGGAGAAGATTTGAGACTACAACAGGGATCCATCAAGATGGAGTCATAACAATGATGCTCCTACTGAAAGCTATCATGAGCGCTGTCAAAAATGAGGTATGGTACGCTCCAGAGACACAAGTGACGTCTGGATCGGAACTCTGCGCGACAGCGACCAAATGTATGTGCCCCCAGCTCTTTATCATTTTTTAATGCCCTCAGAGCCCAAATAAGTGAGCCCCAAAGCCTACCCTCCTGAATAACAACATGGAACCTGACATTCGCCCCTTTAGCCTACGGCCCTGTTAGGGAGGGGCTTACAAGGAGCTGCATTCTACTTTTGGGGAGGGCAACCCATTTCCTAAACATTTGCTAAACCCTAAACCCTCAACCTAAACCTTAAACCCTCAACCTTAAACCCTAAACCCCTAAACCCTCAACCTAAACCCTAAACCCTCAAACCCCTAAACCCTCAAACCCCTAAACCCTGAAACCCTACCCGGTGCAAGGCGGAGCCCCCTTGTAAAGGAACCCTACTGGGAACCCCAAATAGGGAACCCCAAGAATATAGCAGGAATATGATGGAATACAAGGACCCTGGTAGGTATATTCCTATTATATACCTACTATATTCTTGGGGTTCCCGGTTTGGGGTTCCCAGTAGAGTCCCTTTACCCTTGCTTGCCATCCAAAAGGCTTGTGCAGACCTGGAAGAGGGCCGTGAAACTGATCCTTCCACACGGTTTAAGACTTTGGGCTTTGTTTTATCGGACCTTTTCTCCAAGGCCTGCAAGACTTAGGGTTTAGGGCTTAGGGCTTGTGGTTTAGGGTTTGGGATGTAGGGTTTCGGGCTGGGAGTTTCAGGTTAGGGCTTAGGGTTTGGGATTTAAGGTTTAGGGTTTGGGATTTAGGGTTTAGAGTTTTGGGTCTAGGACTTACGGTTTAGGGCTCCCTTTGGAGAGGGGCTCGCAACGGGTTTGGGATGCAAGGGCTTCAGTGTGGTTAAACAAGGGGAATCAAAGTCCGGGAATCCTCCTGCGGATCCTACCAAAACTAATCTGGCAACCACCTGCCATTAAATCCCTGAATGCAACTGGTCAAGCCCAAGACCCACACCCAGAACCTAACCCCCTAAAACCCTCAAATTCCAAACTTTACTCTAATCCCATAAACCCTGACCCCTAAAACCCTGAGTGCGCCTGGGTCCACTTCATGACCGCATCCAAGTTGGCGTACCCCGACTGCGATTTCCATGCACTGGCGGTCTGGTGTGCCAAAATCCAGAAGTTCCTTTCTCGTTCACGGTTTAGGGTTTAGGGGTCTTTCTTCCCATGAAAAGGAGGATATTGTGTTGAGAAATATTGATATATGAGGAGGCTTTTGGTCTATCGAATCTTGGGTAGGGCTTCGACGATAGATGGCCCCCAAGGAACGGTCCCTGTTTAAGGCTTGGGTTCAAGGTTAAGGGTTTAAGCTTAACTTTTTAGTGTCCCCAAGGTTCAGGGCTTCAAACTCATGGATGCGCTTGAGGATGAAGGTTTGGATCTAGAAGAGCTTACTTGGAGGGTCAGGGGGACTTAGTAAGTAGGTTAATAATGGGGATACCTAGGGTTACTATACGGGTTATATGGGTTACTAACCTACTTACTAAGTCCCCCTTACCCTCCAAGTAAGATCTCCAGAGCTTCCTGGGTTGGAAAATTCTGCATTCAGGTGGTTAAAGATCGTTAGGGAGGCTCTCAATTGAGTAGCGTTTTTTTGGTGGCTAAACCCTGTAAGATTACATTCCTTATATAAAACATTATACCCAAAAGGAGGATATAATCTCACTCTATAGCGGGATCTCACTCTATAGCGGGTACCATAGTATCCCCAAATAAAATACTACTCAATTCCAGTATGAGCGAGAGAGGGACACACACGCCAGCTTCAGCAGGAACCCCTCGCTGCAAGGTGCTGGAACCTATAGGCCCCCTTAGGTAGCTAGAATATGGCTTTGGGTATATAATGAGAAGATCCCCATATACCCCATATTCTATCTACTTAAGGGGGACTATAAACGCGGATCATTGCGTACAAGCATATGGTTTTGGGGAGGGAGGGAAGACGAGAGGGAGGAGGGAGAGAGACTTTCGAGCTTCTCGCCTACCACAAGTGACTTGGCCTTGTTAACCGATTCTGATCCTTTCGTGCAATTCTCCTCCGACATTTCTTTTAAGTCACCTTGCCTATTCTCTCAGGGGACAAACCTCTGATCCTTTGCAAAATTATTTTGTAATCAGAGGGCTTTGGTAACCTCAACGCTTGTAATAACAACCCTGTAAGAGTGATGACGGTCATAAGGTCCCTGTTTCGGGGGTTGGTGTAACCAGTCCCCTCATCAATTTGGATCCTTTATCTTTTTGGAATACCCGACGGGCAGAAAGCATGCAAAGTCAGCAAAGAATCTGGGTGGCTCCGCCAAAAATATCGCCGGAGCAGTAAGGAACGTCAATGACCGTATAGCCATAGAACCTGAGGGTGCTCGCAATAAAGATATCACGGGTTAGGGTTTAGGGGATATACAGCATAGAGATATACAGGGATGTATACGGAAATATAAGGAGATCTGTCTTTAGAGTTCAAGGTTTAGGTACATAAGGGACTTTGGGAACCACAACCCCTGTACTAAGAACCCTCTAAGAATCATATGGCAATGATCGGGTCCAAATTTTGGGGGCTTGGGTAATTAAGCGAGACACCCTTACAAGTTGGAGTACCCTCCCTCACACTAGCTTGGCAACTTACCTAGTCCCCTTTTGCACAGGCAGTAGTCTTCACAAACGCCCTTTGAAGGGTTCTCCCTTACTCGCGGGTAGCGTATCATCCCTCAACATGTCCGCATTCCAGTGCTTCCCGATGTGCAACCTTAAAAGGCCCTAAGTGAACAAAGGCCAGTTTGGGGCCATAGAGGAGATACGAAGCATGCTGCAAATACTGTAGCGCACTACCTTCTCAGAGAGTCAGCATCGTGGTTCTGGGCTATGAAGGGATACTCTTCTGAGTTATTCCATCTTCCACGCTCAAAGGCTCTTCTGGCGTTCCAAAGTAGCTGGGCTTTTTTTCTTCAAGGATCTAGCTATAGCCCTGAATACATACCGACCTACGTTAACCCTGCTTGTGCCCTGAAACCTTGCTGCAAAAAACATCCCACAGCTTACTTCTGTGGAATGAAGTCTCAAATGAAGCCCCGATCCCCAGACTTCGCACTGCGGCTTATAGAGGTGGGATCCGAGTATATGGGTTTAGAAGAGGTTCAGGGTTTAGGGTTTAGGGATCTAGGCTGAATTTCTCCATACTGCTGCAATTCTTGCAGCTGATGCTACTCTTCACCGCTTGTCGTCCTCATCCCGCTCATACTCAAAGGCCCCTTCAAGTATTGTCTACTGCTGGCTGCTGATGACAAATGTGAGGCAATCACTACTACTGTCGTCCCCTCTACCACTATGATGACTAAAGCAACAAAGTACGAACTGCATTCTACTTAGTACGTAAAACAGGCCCCGCTGCCACCACTACAATGTCTACAACCCCATGATTGCAACTCTTCTACGCAAAGGCAGATTGGGAGCGGATTGGCCGGAACCGAGGCATTGAAGATTCCAGTGGGTGTCATGGGCGCCGTCCGCGAGCATGCGCCAACTGAGGATGTAAGACTGAGATACATGGACATGGGGCAACAGGGATGGTTTTCAGTCCATGCAGGAACATTCACATTGGGGGCAGATGGGCATTTGTTACCTCACAACTAATCATGACTGTAGCGCACACAGGCACTACCCCGCTCATAGACGGTTCAGGTGTTTCATATGGGCTGACCGCCACCTGGACTCTGTCGGGAAATTACTGAAGAACTGTACATTCCCCACACCAAGTGTGGAAGCTGGACGGCAAAGCATAGACTGCTGCATGTTGAGGTGAAACTCTCGCAGATTTCGCTACATGCTGGGGGGCAGGTCGGGACCATCTGATACTGCAATTCCCACTCTTGACAGCTAGGCTTAAGCGTTTAGGATTGAGGATTACGAGGCCAAGGACTCTGTGACTTTGAGAGAAGATATAGGATCAGAGGTCATAAATCCGTTTAAGGGGGTTATATAGGTTTATTTAGGGTTCTCTAGGGCTATACACGGTTATATAGGGACATCCAGGGTTTCAGGCTGGGGGTGACCTCGCCAGCAACGTGAGGTTTGGTAGTTGGGGGTTGGCCCTTCAAGGTCCATAGCTCTGGATTTAAGGGTTTGGGGGTTAGGATTTATGGTTTAAGATTTAGGATTAGGATTTAAGGCTTAAGGTTTGGAGGCTTGGTGTCAGGATTGGGTTCAGGCCAATCAGGAAGCGCGAAAAGCCTCATCAGTTGCAGGGGAAGTGGGCCCATTGGGTATGATATCCCCACATGTTCCCTCATTGTGAGGACTTTTTATGTGGACTTCCAAGAAACTCACACTTTTTCTAAACTGAAATCCTTCACCAGGACCGGTAGAAGGGAACTCTGAGGGAACCCAAAGTTTCTCAAGGTATCCATAGGGGAATATAGGCTTATAGAGGATTACGGGTACATAGGGTTATAGAGGGTAAGATGGGATTAGTCCTATTTCTGGTCTCTAAAAATCTACCGGACTCAAGCCCCAAAACAAAGGTTTGCTGCCATGGCGCGGAGAAAGGTAACCCAATTCCAGCAAGCGCCTGGCAGTCTGACAAAACGGGACCTTCTGGGCGGAGGTTCAGGCTTTAAGGTGTTTAGCGGTTGTGGTCCAGGCCTGTTTTTGTGCTATCGGGTGTCAGTTTTCTATGTTGAAGGTTGAGGCGCCATTTACCCCATAAGCACCCCGATACTTATCTTAACTTGCAGGTTCATGTGTGCATGTGTGCGTGGGGCCAAAAGTAACTTTGAAACCCTCTTCAGAGATATCTCCCGCCCCCGGAACAGGGCCCTCAGAAACGCAGAAAAATTGTAGCGCTCAATACGGGGCCCTCAAAGCCTTCTGTGGTTCTAAGGGTCCTGGGGATTCCTTTATAAGGGATGGTCTGGGTTCTGCTCTGGTACCGCAAAAGATCTCAAAAGGCCCGCCATGTTTTCAGTCAACGCCTTGGGCCTTGGGGACAAAAATCTGCAGGAGGCCAAGTCTGACAAAGGTCTGGAAGACGTTCAATGAAGCTGGTCGGGTTCAATTTTAGGATTTGGTGTCTGGCTTTTGAATCTAAAGCTCCGAGGACTGGTTCTGAAAAGAAGTCTAAAAGGCCTGGCTCTTAAAAGCAAAGGAAATTGAATCTTCTTTCCTTGCCCGTGAATGAGGGCACCGCAAAAAACGCACATTCTAGAGGGGCTCTCTTCAATCAAAGAAAGTCGGACAGTTATGATGAGAAGGGTTTCATGTTTGGGGACTTAGCAGCCGACTCATGCAAGCAGGGAATTTGGCAACCGTGACCCCTATGATAAGGACCCTACAAGCGTCACATGACAGTCATAGGGGTCCCTATTTGGGGGGTGCTAAGGTTCCCAAAATGTTAAGAATCAGCCAGGAGCTTTTCCTAAACCCAGTACTCCACACCTCCACCGTGAAGGTGAAGAAGCACCTTCTTGGGATCACCTGGCAGGGCTTCAGGGTCTGCGGTTTTGGTGTTCAGGGTTTAGGGCCTCAGGGTTCGGGCTTTAGGGTTTAGGGTTCCTGGCTTAGAGTTTGGGATATGCGGGTTAGGGCTTCGAGTTTGGGATGTAGATATGCTTGATCGAAGAAAGCCAGTACAATGGGCCGTAGCTGTTGACCAGGCTATGACCTTAGCTTTTACTTCCGTCTAAGCCCTGATCTCCTAAACTTGAGGAAGACCCTGGCTACGTGTAGGGCTAGACCACAAGCAACTGGGGCGGCTGGGATGCATGCTTGTTCGCAGAGTAAGCCCACAAATTAAGCAGAGAACTGAAGACCTGATGTGGGGTTTCCAAAAATTGGGGGTCCCGATTCGGGGGGTACCTATCTAAGGATTTTTTGTTTTTCACGTTCTATATGGGGGCCCCTGGTCAGGGAAACCCACTTTTCTGAAACTTAGGCTAAACCCTAAACCCTAAACCCCTAAACCCCTAAACCCTAAACCCCTAAACCCCTAAAAGCTAAACCCCTAAAC